AGATAAATATTTCTCCTCGACCTGAACTATTCACTAGCCAGATTAGGATATAGCCTTTATGTATATATAGATTAAATCCATTAGTAAACTTTTGTTTGATCTGCAAGCTACTTTTGTTATTTTTAGAGTCAGTCTCAGCTCTTAGGGAAGCATAGTTAGACGACAGCACACTTCTGCTACTCTACTGATTTAAAGCTAGTACCCTAATAGGCTTGGCTTTGATATTTTTGACATTTAAATATTTTTGTTTCCTTGACAAAAGCTGAAGCCTTGGGAAACTTAAATTACTATACATCAACATCCACCATTGGGGGAGGTATTAATAAATACTTCAATTAATTAATTAATTAATAATATTAATAAATAATTGGATTATTAAATTATAAATAATTTAATTAATTAATTAATATTATTAAATAATAAATAAAGCAGAAGAATTACACCTAAAAGTGCCATGATTCTCCTCTTAAATACTTCCTATCTTGCTTCAGCAGAATTTTTTTTTAAATGGAAATGACTTTCCAATCACTTCTGATTTTGTCAGGAAGGGCTAAATGGAGAATCCAGACGTAGAAATGACTTTATGAAATCATCTGCTTTTCTGTTAGAGGTTGGGGGACTTGCTGTACAACTGTATGGAAATGCCACTTTGGTATTTCAGCTCCAGTGATGTGAGTTTCCTGGGAAAAGTAGAATTGTAAACTTTTCCAATCCCCCCCCCCCCCGTGCTCTAAATAACATTATCCGATTTAGCATGTTTAGCTTAAATATTATAGTCAGACAAGTTCAAAGTTTTATGTAGAAATTATTTAATTGCAATATTTGCGACAATGTTAAGAGAATTGCATATACTTCTTGGATATTTGACTGAAAATGACTGCTCCTGAAAGAAACACTATTCTTTTGAGCTCACATATCTAAAGTGGGGCTGTACCTAATATATCAACAGCTTAGTTTGCTGAGATATAACTGTAGTACCTTGAGCTTCACTCATCCTCTTCAATATTTACCAGCTCTATTTCAAGCTAAAAAAAAAACACCAAAACTGATTCAGTACTAGTTGAACATTATATTTCACAACAGGATATCTATGGCTCTTTGGACACAGGCAATCTATCACCTTTTGTCTTGTCTATTTGTACTTAGTTTGGTTCCAAGACTGCCCATGAATATCAAAATCTACAGATGCTCAAGTCCCACTATATGCAGTGGCATAGTAAAATTGTGTCTCTTAATGGCAAAATCAAGGTTTGCTTTTCGGATTTTGTTCAGGGGTGGCATATTTTCCAACCATGGATGGTTGAATCCGTGGATGCAAAATCTCTGGATATGGAGGGCTTGGCAGCATATGGAGTACAAGAGCCCAGACAACTATGAACAAACAGTGGAAATGTTTCCATTAAAAACTATAGCTTTAGAAAATGTTCCACCCAACATTCAGCCCCATTCACTAAGAAGTTAACATGGTTGAGACTGGCACCATCAAACTCAGTTGACTATGAAATAAAGGTACCCAACAGGTGCAGGAGATCAAAATTTGCCATCCCATCTTTTTTTTGGAAAGCATGCCACACACAAGAATATATAGCACTCAGTGCAATGTGATGATCTTAGTTGCGTGTTACATTTATGCAGCTTTGCTCCCGTTAGCCCGCTTCCCCATCCCTTTGTGATGATTATTTTTCATCTGTGCTCTTCCATTTCACTTATTTTTGTTCTTTCCATTGGCTTGGTAAAGGAGATTGGATTTCTGGATGTGTTCAGTGTGCTTATGTTTGCTGGCTTGCTCAGCATTGAAACAGAGGTCCCTACCTGTTCCTGGCAAGTCTCCTGGCTTCCAGTTGTGTACCAACAGCTCCCCAGTTGCTGTTTCCCTGAGCCCAATGTTGTCTCATTGTGCAATTCAAAAGGCAGACGTCCCCAATCCATGATGCATCATCAGCCTCTGACATATGCTGCCAAAAGATTTCTGAAGAGGCCGGTGGCATCAGCCAACCTTGGAAAAGATTTGATGGGTAGCACCCAGGGGCTACTGAAGGAAGCAGCCACCTCCTTAGAGACCATTTAGTGGGTTGTTCTCTCAGAGAGTAAAGGTATAAATCACACACACACACCTTCCTTAAATCAAATCTTTCTTAAACTGGGTGGGGAGGTTGCAACTTAACCAATGTAAAAGAGAGAAAACCCTGGCAGTCACAAAAGGCAAACATAAGAGACGCAAGACAACCGCCAAGGGAACAGCAAAACTGTAAAGTGGGCATGAAGCTGTGCTGAAAAGGTCAGGCTGTGTTATGACAAGAAATGCAGATGGGCCTCTGGGCACGGGGGCCCTTTTCCGTCTCTCTCTTTCTCTCCTAAAAATAGCTCAAGAGCCTGTATCGCTTCTTTCCAAAGATCATGTTTGTCTCCAATGCAGGAGCCTCCTTGGGTAGGTCTGGTTCATTCCGGTAAACTTTTGCCAAGCAGTTCTTCTCCCTGTGCCAGGTGTCGGCTTGGTTAAGAAGATGACAAAGACTAGATCTGGCAAGGGGCAGTGGGCACCAATGCTGCCAACCCCCTTCCTGGCTCCTTTTGGGCTAGGAGATTTGAAAGCAGGAGGTTAGACACAATGCAGAGTGACAATGTGCCCCAGGAATCTCTCCAAGTACAGATGTAGCCCAGGGGAGAATGGGGAGAATCGCCAAAAGGCACCCTTGTCCTCTTCTGTCCCACCCTTGAGTCCCCTACCCCATGTTACCAAAGGGAACTGTCAGTATATAGCCTGAGAGGTTTGTACAGTCAAGCTTCCATATCTTCAGATTTTTAAACCCTGGATTGAAGCATCCACAGATTGAAAATATTCCAAAAAATATAAATTCCAAAAGGCAAACCTTGATTTTGCCATTTTTATATCAGCAACATCATTTTACTATGCCATTGTATTTAATGAGAATTGATCATCCAGATTTTGGTATCCACAGGGGGGGGGGGTGGTCCTGCAACCAAACCCCAGCAGATACCAAGGGCCCACTGTATCCTCCTAAGATTGACTGCAGACCCCACAAAAATGTGTGTTAGGAAAAGGAAGTGGCATAAACACTCCACTCAGAATGAAGCATTATGTCACGATTCTAGCTTTGGTGAGGTTATTATGGCCATTTGTTTGATTGGAAATATATCATCATTTCCAAAGTCTGAGAAGTAAAATGGGCAAAATGCTTTCTCATCGTCTGAATAAAGTGGATTTTTCTGGCACTGAATGCTAAATCCATTGCTGATGGGTACCAAGCCTTTAATTCAGATATATCTTTGGTTTACAGGTCCCAGAATCCTCCAGCCAGTGCTGTCTGGGGATTCTGGGAGTTGGCATCCAAAAATGTGATTTTTCTAAGCTCTTTCCCAATATTCTACCATACTTTCCTGAACTGAGATCCCCCCAGTAGCTTTTCCAACCAGACCCAGTTGCTGTGAAGTTTTGGTTTTCCTCCATCGAGCTCAGCTGCTCAGTAGCTTTGCTCTGGAAAACCTGCAACGGCAGGTCACCCTCTCAAAGCTTCTTCTTACCAGAGAAAACATTTTGCCCATTTTCCTTTTCAGCCTTTGTATATAATGCATTTCCAATCAAACAAATGACCATAATAACCTCACCAAAGCTAGAATCGTGACCCAACTATGTGGTTTTGGGTGACATTGCAGAAGGAGGTATCTTGCCCCTTGCCCTTAGTAGTTGGCTGGCTCCTGGGACAATTCTTTCCCCCAATTTCTACTTTTTTGTGGGTTCCACCTGCCTTTGATCACTTCAGGGAAAAGAGCAGCCTTGAGGATAGAGGTTTGCTCATCTTCCCCAGGTGCTTGAAGCTAGCCATGAAAAAGGGAGCAACCTCTGTGTGGCACAAGTACACTGGCAGATTTACATTCTGTCAGTGGGCTTCATAATTCTCAGCAGAAAAACAGGAGAGTCTCAAGGTGCTCAGTGGATGATGTATTAAGAAAAAACCCAATGTGTTTTAGCCTGAATATGCTCTCAAAGGCTATATGAAATCATAAAAAGAGACAACACATAAATACATAACAAAACAAAGCATAATATCCCAGCGTATGACATCTTTTATTACACTTCTGCCTATGGCCAGTTTGAAATTTCACTACAGCTCTGGAGCTTAAGCTCTTACTCCGTTTACTGGAGAAAAAGAAGAAATGTGTAAACTTAAAAGTCTAAAGTCTAAAACCATTTAAGCCTAAAGCCTAAAGGGTTTCTTGTTATGTCAGCAGATGGTCAGGAGAGAGAGAGAGATGTAGGGGTTCTGGAGAATATTCAAGGACCTTTTGATGAAACCAGGCTGAAGGAAAATGTGTTGGGCTTTTCGTTAATAAATTATCTAGCCATTGAGTACCTTGACACAGGTCTTCTGTTTTCTGCTGATTACATTGTTTGCTCCCCAATTTTTGTTCCCTTCATGATTTTCAGCTCTTAAATGCTTTGTTTGAGCTTTGGAAGGGAGTGAGAATTTTCCAAGCCACCTCTTTGATTCTGAACACGGGCAGGAGCTTCTTTTTGCATCGCTGGCATAAGAACATGCCAGCCCTGCCAGAGCAAAGGTCTGTTCCCAACTGCATCTGACTCCTGAAAACCTGCCACCGGCAGGGCATATAAGTGATGGAAAGTCTCCTTGGTTCATTGCCTCCAGCATCAGGTATTGGCAAGGCATACCGCTAAGGAATGCAAACTGCCTTGGCTGATCTCTTTTGACAGTGCCAGCCTCCCTGAATTTATCAAACCCCTCCTTTAAAAAAACAGCAATCAGCCATATTTCCACATCTTCTACAGCAGTGAATTCTGCCATGTAATTTATGTTTGTAGTTGTTCTTATGTGCCTTCAAGTCATTTCCGACTTACAGCAACTCTTAAGGCAACCCTATCATGGGGTGTTCTTGGCAAGTTTTTTCAGAGGACCTTTGCCAATGCCATCCTCTGATGCTGAGAGAGTGCGACGTGCCCAAGCTCACCCAGTGGGTTTCCATGGCCAAGCTGGGATTTGAACCCTGGTCTTCAGAGTTGCAGTCCAACACTCAAACCACTACACCATGCTAGCTCTCAATATCTATAATATAATGTAATATAATATCTATGACATTATATATCTGTATGTAATATAGGCAAATTTTAGCTTGCCTTTTTCAGTGGGGCTATTTGAAAAGCTAGTTCTTGTCCAAAGTCACCCAGTGGGTTTCCTTGGCCAAGCCGGAATTTGAACCCTGGTCTCCAGAGTTATAGTGCAATGCTCAAACAACTGCACCACACTGGCTCTGTGTAACTGTGTGCTCTAAAAACAGTAAAGGCTCTTGTAGTGTTCCTGGGGCTGGCTAAAACAGATTGTGGTTGTGATTCTATATCACTGTCTTATGTTGTAGAACTTTATGTATATTTAACTGCATAGCAGAGGCACTAAGACATCCTTGTGAGTGAATTGGAAAGGTGCAAGAGTGCCCAATACGTATCAGTACCTGTTGTGCACTGGGACCAATGCGCAAGTCTTAACACGTAACTATCACTTTGCTGATTCTCCTATGCATTAATGTCACAGCAGCCTTTTGCTCTGAATAGGGACAATCTGCTCAGTTTTATTTGGGGATGCAAGTCCCCAAGTGAATTCTAGATTGTGACTCTGTCTGTCTGTCTGTCTCTCAGCTCAGTCCTCATCCATGGCCTCCCCCCAGACTGAGGAGCTCTTTGACCTCATCGCGAGCTCCCAGAGCCGGAGGCTTGACGACCAGCGCGCCAGCGTCGGGAACTTGCCTGGCCTCCGCATTACGCACAACAACTTGGGCCATCTCCGCATGGAAGGGGACTCCCAGGAGCCGGGCGATGAGTTTTTCAACATGCTCATGAAGTGCCAGGTGTGTTGATCGCAAGATGCTCTTCACTGCCAAACTCTTGGGATAGCTGGAGCTAAAACTCAGGTGCTGGCACAGAGCCTGTGTTTGGGACTGGTGGTAATGGGTTTTTTATTAGTTTCTGGACTTTTATTGCTGACAGCTTTGGAAGCTAGGCTATTAGGGAACAGAAAAAATATTTGGGAAATGGTTAAAAAATAATTTTCACATGTTGAGAAACTCTGATGAGAGGAATACTGGACTGACAAGAATTGTGACCGTTCAGGACTTATTCCATGCAAAATTCACACAGAAAACATTTGTTTTTTTCTTTCTGCACAAAATGCTGTTTTCTGCACAAAAACAACCACATGTGAATTTTGCACAGAATAAGCCCTGAACTGCAAATAGGCTTTTAAAATTGCATGGTTTCCAATGACATTCTCACAATGGGTAGAAAATTGGTAAGATTACTTGTTGCTTCCAAGAAACTAAGCTACATTGCAGACTGCTAGAAATATTGTAAATTGAGGCCACTTTAACTGTCCTGGCTCAGTGCTAGGGAATCATGGGAATTGTTATTTTTTTCTGAGACATTGAGCCTTCTCTTGTCAGAGAGCTCTGGTGCCACAATAAACTACAGTTCCCATGATTCTCTAGCACTGAGTCAGGACAGTTAAAGTGGACTCAATTTCCACTATTTCTGGCAGTCTGCAAAGGCCCTAAGTGAAAAACTAAGTCCTCAGGGGTTACTATCCAACTACAGAGCACACTCTTGCACCTGGTGGAACTAAAGCTGTGGATGTGTGTGCCTTCAAATCACTGTTGACTCATGGCAACTCCAACAATTTCATAGGGCATCCTTAGGCCAGGAATACTCAGAGGTCATGTTAATTTTTAAAATATTTTTTTTTATTTATGTGCCACCTTTCTCCTGGAGTGGAAGCTAAGGTGGCACACAGAGGAAATCATAACAATACAATTTTTAAAACCTAAACTCATCTCATTTAAAACAGTAGAAAATTATTTTTGGAAGATACAAATGTGCTTTTTAAAAAAAATAAACAAAGCACATGCCCCAGTAAGAAGCCTTTCTAAGAGCAAGACATATTCAAATCATGCTTAAACAGAATGGTCTTTGTGTGCCAGGGAAAGGAAAGCCGGGCCAGCCTAGCATACTGTGGAACAAAACTTCAGAGGTGGGAACAGCCACCAAGAAGGGTATCTCCTGTGATGGTGGTGGGACCAAGAGAAAGCCTTCCCCTGTAGATCTGCCAGTTTCTTCCTCTGAAGTATAGCCTATAGCCCCTGGTCTACATTGGCAGTTTTCCATCCAGAGCTGACTCTGCTTAGCTTCCAAGATCACAAGGGATCTGGTGCCTTTAGGATATTTATGCCCTGAGTAGATATAGAGTTCTATTTTTTTAAAGTGCTTTTAATGCTAAAACCAGCTAAGGGAGGTCTTGCTTTAATGGAAAAACACTCTGGGGTGGGATTCTCCTGGTTTTTTCAGAAAGGAAGGGGTATGTGTGTGTAAGACTTCACAAAAGATGGATTGGCTCAATAGAGGAGTTCAGTGTCCTAGGTTTGCAAGATCTGAGAAAGGCAGTAAGCAATAAGACCTTCTGGAGAGCATTGATTCACAGGGTTGCCATAAGTCATCATTAGCTTGACAACATACAACACACACGTGCGCATGGCTACATACACACCAAAAAATACCTTGGGAGCCACATACAGTCCATGTGATTTCCCCCCTCTGCTCTGTAGGTTTTGTTAAAATATAGGACAGCATTCTACATTAGCTACCTAGTTAAACATGCTTAAGTTATTTAAATAAGGGCCTTTGCAGACTGCTAGAAATAGTGCAAATTGAGTCCACTTTAATTGGCCTGGCTTAGTGCTAGGGAATCATGGGAACTGTAGTTTTTTCTGAGACATTGAGCCTTCTCTGTCAGAGAGCTCTGGTGCCACAATAAACTACAGTTCCCATGATTCCCTACCACTGAGTCTGGGCAGTTAAAGTGGACTCAATTTGCATTATTTCTGGCAGTTTGCAAAGGCCCTAAGTAATCTCTCTTGGCCCAACTCATCCCCCCAGAACCTGATGGAAGCATTGGAATGGTTCTCCTTTTCCCCATTAAGCTGATGCTTCATATAGTATGTGAGAAGGGGGGCAGAGTAACAATCATGGCAATAATGTCACAATTGTTAACTAAGTGGCGATCATGAATATAAAACAGTTATAGATCAGTAAATCCAGATAACTGTTCTGTAGTCTTGATCCACAACTTAGTGACAATTGTGACACTATTGTCACAATCATAACTCTCCCCCCCCCCCTTTACCAGGCATCAGCTGCGTGGAGAAAAGGAGCTCCATTTTGACAGCAATGGGAGCATGGGTGAATGATGTTTCCATCAGGTTTGTGGGTGGGGTGGACCAGGAAAGGTTACTTTGTTAGGACAAGGAGCAATGAATGCAAACTAGAGAAGAGATTCCATATAAACATTAGGAAGAATTTCCTGACAGTAAGAGCAGTTTGAGTAGTCTTCCTCGGAGGATGGTGGAGTCTCCTTCTTTAGACTTTTTGATTGTGTCTTCCTGCATGGCAGAATGAGATTGGACCGGATGGCCCTTGGGGTCTCTTCCAACTCTATGATCACTTAACTGAGTAGCTGATATAAAATACTGGCTATGATTTCTTCAGGCTATGAGGCAGTAGGGATCCTGATGGGGCAACTATTTATAAGAGTATAGCTTTGTCACACTGGGTAAGCCCAACATTCAGTGGAGGAGAAAATACACAAGTCTCTAGCAATAACCCCAATAGAGAAGTCTCATAAGCAAAGTTTTAAGGAGACTGACAGACCCTCCACTGGTCCTTAAAGATACAATTGCTGTGATAGTCAAGGCATCAAGGCTTTATTCCTAACTACTTTCAGAAACAGCTGCTTAGATGGGCCCTCCGTGAAGGTAATCAATATATAGAACTCAGTGCAACAGAATATTTTGGGAGGATGTAATAACCATTGGTACAGAAGACTCCAAAAGGGGAGTCTTCTGTGCCAATGGTTATTACACCCACCCACCCCCAAAACATTCTGGAACATTGAGCATATTGCCAGTCAGTATACTGGAGACAATCAGCTGAATTTGAGAGAAAGCAACTATGACTAATTTCCTTCGTATCCCATCCTTTCTCCAAAGACTTTTGACCTGGTGTATCTGTCTCCCTTTTCCCTTTTCATCTCCATATTCAAGTAAATTTAGATCAGAGCTTACATTGACATTAAACCATTAAAGTAATTTAATATATTGGCACTGAAACTCTTTAGAAAATTTTATAAAATCAGTTTCTGTAATCAGTTTGTTTCTTTAATTTGTTACTTAGAGTGATAAATTATCAATTTAAAATAGCAATTCAAATGCCCTAAGATCAACTGGTAGTACAGTAAGTTCATTCATTGTGTTAATACTTGTTCTTATTTACCAATTAATACAATGAATTAATTTTTATCAACGTTTACCCCATGAGTGTCTTGGCTAAGCAGAGCTGTATGAGGTGGCTTTATAAAGTCAGTGGTGGGGAGTTCGATGTTAGCAACATCCACACATGCAACTGTTTCTTATGTGTGCAAGTGTCCTTTTGAGGGAGTTGCAAGGGTTGGTATACCCTTCCTCCCTGTGCAGTACCCCAAAACCGGCATCTGCACATGTAGAACACTTGTGTGTGTGGATGTCCCTACTGAATTCCAGCTAAAATGTCTTAGTCTTGGGATGCCACTGTAATTGCAAAACACATCAGTATGGCTGCTTTCTTTCACTCAGAGCACACATCTAGAAGAAAATGTTTTCTGCTCTGTTCCTATCTTTCCAAACAAACTCCATTTATTATTTCCTTTTCCCCACCTTTATTTTGTTCTTCTGCAGTCCTCCCGCATTGATGATCAGCGGTGTGCTCCACCCAACTCCCTCCCCCGTGGCCCCACTGTGCCAGACGAGGACTTCTTCAGCCTCATCCAACGGGTCCAAGCCAAGCGCATGGATGAGCAGAGGGTGGATCTGGCTTCTGCCCAGGAGGAGGAAGAGGAGGAAGAAGAGGAACAGCAGCAACAACAGGTAGATGAACAGCCATCAGATCAGCAGCAGAGGCCCAGCTTCAGCTAAGACACCAGCATCGGAGGGGTGGAATTTGGAGTGTCAGCCACTGAAGAACT